TTACACACAACTCACAAATGCCAATTTCCATCACAATTAGCCTAAGTTATGCAACATATTTTTGTTCCTTTTTAGTATATAGGTGATGTATGTTTTTATAATTTGCTTAACTGCCTATAGTGAAATTTTAAAATCACACAGACCATATAAAACCATAAAAGAAAGGGTACCTTTTTATTTTTCCCAGTGTCCCATGTTTCTACATTGCTTATAGAGCTTGTACAAGAAACACTGTTAGTTTCTATATAAAGATTTCCATAAAATTTTTATAGTTTCTATAAATGCATAAAGATTGTTGGTTTCATTATAACCTCTGTTTCAGTGCCAGTGGAAAGAAAAATTACCTGCAACTCTAAACAGCGAACTATATAAATAGGGTGAGTAAGGGTGCTCAGACCTCTATTCAAAAACCTCTAAGACACTGGCTATATTTCACCAAAATATAGATGAGCACACTGGAGAAGCAACTTCTCGTACACCCCCTCTAAGCACTACTCTTGGAACAAACAGGCTGTCAAAAGTGCAACTGTGAGAACAAATTATTAATTCTTCATGTTTTAGGACAAGAGGTAATCGTATTATAACTAACATGTTTTAAAATGGTATGTGTAATGCCTATTACACTTGACATATTACAAGGCTATTTATGGAAATCTTCTGATAGGTTACCATAGCTTTACTCCAAATTATCCCATAGTACATGTTATAATTACTAAAGGCCCTTTTTAATCTGGAAAAGCATATAATGTTTTGAAACCAAAGATGGGATTTTGATGAGAATGGTTGACCATAATTTGCTAACATGTTAACTATCCTTTCCTCCCTTAATTCAATTAGTATTCATTAAAACTACACTAATCACAATGAATAAAGTTTTACCAATTATTTCCATAATTATGAATGAATACAGTAAACAGAATAATTATAAATCTACTTAATTAACTACAGGCTGTTTCCAATAAAAAAAAGGTATTCATGTTTTGTATTTTATTTTTAACGCTAGATTGACATGCTGATATCTTTGAGAACCATTTCTAGAAATGAAAAATAATCTTATTGCGATTCTGGTCTTTTTTAACAAATTTTTCTATGGTCCAGGCTTTATTAAGAACTTCATTATCTAAACCTGGAGTGAAAGATTGAAAAGAATGTGGTTTAAGCTACCAAAACCAAAGTAACCAAAAAATCATATCCGTGATTTTGGAATCTTAACACCACCCGCCCCCCCACCAAAAAAAATTTAGACTACTTCATATTACGCTTAGGGACACAATTTTTTAAATTCCTTAAATACGTTGTTACAAGATTTATTTTTTTAAATGCAGGATTCAAGTCAGGATCCTATCAATGTTGATGTTTTAGTACTTAAACCAGCTAAGCATTAAACAAAAGCAGATGAATAAATAATGTGAACTCTGAGAAGCCCTTGCTTTTGCCTTTTTGGTTTGTTCCTCTATTTTCAAAAATACAGGAATTGCATGTCTTTCCGGAATTAACAAAGCCTATACTTTCAGGTTTCAAGATAGCAGGCTTACCAGATTTTAAATGAAATATTGAGTGCTACAGTGATTTAATGGTTTTAAACCATAGATGTCGTTGCGGTCTGAGGGTGTCACAGACAACTTAAGGAAGAAAAAAAAATGGGGCACAGAGAAATCACTTTGTCAGTAATTACAATCAAGAGTCCTAAGATGTGGCTCAGGCTGCTCATTACTTCTTCTTTCTGAATCGAGACCCTTATTTACATTTCAGATTACATTTTTTATGAAACAGTAAGATCTATCAGAGCTGAGAGGAGCGAAATAATGAGGGGAAAACATTTTAATAAAACGTGTTGGGTCTGCATTACTTCCGTGTCAGAAAGAAAGGCTACTTCTGTAGTGATGGATCATTTATTCTGCTTCTAAACGAGAAGCAAAAAGATGAAACTGATGAACTTTTACTGCCCATTTGTCTTTAGCAGACAATTAAGACAGAGAAGATCAAAATGGATTATCATACCACGCAGACAACTGGCCCAACAGTAATACATCTCCGGGACCACAGATTTGTAACTCTCTTTTATCCCTCCCCTTTCTTCTTACTTCTTTTTCCACTCTAAAGGCAGTGCTAGCTTTGTGGCTCAAGGAGAGCCAAAAGGCTGGTCATCATTATTCAGTCACAGATGTCAATCTAACCTCCCTTTTTTCTCAGTTTCTAAAGCAGTGAGCCACAATAATTTGTGACAGATTCTTTTACTGTAAGGTACAAAGAACACACAGAATAAAACATCTAGCAGCAGCAAGTGTCTCTGATCAAGTGTGCTGGTACATGGGAAATACACTATATGTAAAAACAAGCACTGGTAGGTTAGGCGAATGAGGAGGAAAACTGGAGGAGGGAGTTTTGTGTGCGTGCGAATGTAGTAACAAGCAGTATGCTTTGTGGTGAATTAGCTCCCATATTCCTTACGAATTACATCATAAATGTTTTAATACTAGAAATGTTGTCTAGATCAAGCACATATTCAGCATTTAAGGTTTCTATGGAATAAAACATTTCTAAGAACCCTTTAATACAGCACACCAAGGGGAAAGATAATTTGGTTTAATCCAAAAAATGCTGAGAAGAGGAGGAAAAAATAGAAGATTGGCACCCAACTGATAAAAAGGTAAATAAGAAATATGCAGGTCTCATTCCCTTGACCATCCAATCAACTGTCAAATCAATTTCTGGGAACGTGGAGGTAACTTCCCCAAAAGCAAAGCAGACCTTTCATTCACCCTTCGTTCTCGAGTTATATGTGATAAGGAAGGGAAACCACGTATGCCGAGTTGGAAGAAATGTTAAATAAGACTCTCCTAAGTCTGCATCTAGCCCATGAGTACCGTCCTCCAAATTTTAACATTATGTTAACAGATCTAAACAAAGAAAACAAGTAACTATCCTGTGAATACTTTAAAATAGCTGAAAATCATCATTTTTTTAGGTTCTTACCGTAATTTTAAATTATTCCAACTTCAACATATGAAATACTTGTGATAACATCCATTAACCAAAGTAAAGGGAACTAAGTTCATAACATAATATTTAATCTCTAAACTGAGTTTCACATGCAACAGAAGAGTATTTCTCTATATACACACACATACTATATATATGGGGACTGTACATACATATGTGTATATACACATATGTGCCTCCCAAACATACAAACATATACTCAGAAAAACAAACATGGGAAGGTAAATACCAAATTGTCATAGTGGTTATCTCTGAGTAAAAACTATAGATGAATTGCATTTGCTTTCTTTTCATTCTTTTTTAAACTTATTGCTGATTTATCCATATTTCCTAAGTATTTTGTCATGAACATACTACCCATGTGATTTTTAAAAGTTACACCAAAAAGAGGAAATAGTCATTCTGGTCAAAAAGTTTCAGATATAGCAAGAAACTATGTTTAAAGGAATAGATGCAGATGTTAACCATGTTATTTTCAGGTTTGTCCCACAAAATTTTCTCTTGTTGGCTAATTCAGAACCTGGGACCACAAAAGTTATTTACCTAGACAAAAGATTTTAGAATAATGATTTTCTTAAGAGCTATGGACTCAAGTCTATTCAGAACCACACTTTGAGATTTTTCACTCTTTAGACATTGTTTGATGAAAAAAATTAATAATGAGGTCTTATAATCTTTGGATTGTGCAGTTTAAATCCAATGGGTTCAATCAATCACACAGCAATTTAAGGCAAGATAAAAATGTAACTCTCCTGTTGGAAGACGAAGCAAGGGTTAGAGAAGATTAGTATTTTTAAAATCTCATTCAAGAGTCTTGAGATCACACACAAAGGAAACCATACCAGTTCTCTTGGGTTCTTTTACAATAAAATCTCATTACAAAGCATCTCATTATACTGATTATCCAGTTATATTCCTGGTCACATTATGTCCCCTGTATTCATAAAGATGTCTCAGATACCTTGCCCTCTATATAACAGGCCACATTGCAAAGGTGTTACGACTATTGTACTGGATATTTCTATTCCATTGTACTTATCCTCATTCAAGGACATTTTTTAATAGACAAAATCCAATGGAGGTACTTCAGAAACATGTTTTTATTGTGTACAATATTCTACATGTGAAAGACCTTATAATTGTTTTACTCAGTGTAATCAAGGATGCTTCTATCTTGAAATGGCTTTAAAAAGCATCCCAAATTGCTTATTTGAACTAAAAATGTAAGATGCCCCCCAAAGAGCTATAAAACATCTCTAATATTTCTTAAGATAGACACTGGAATCCAGAATGTATAACCCGGATCTAATTATCAAGAGTAGAGCAACATCACAACTTCAGCGCTATTCTGTGACTAAAATATTTCCTTTCACTTCACTCCATGCTTGCGGGATACAGGAAATTCGAGATGGCAGGGCCAACCAACCAACTTCAACTTTCACTACCATCATTAGAACTAACCTCACCCTGAAGACCGTTCCTGAATGCGTTATCTTCTTTTTGGAGTACTACCATAACACACAGCTTCATAATCTATTTCAAATTCCAGGAAATGTTATAAACTTCCCTCCACATCCTCTCTTTTTTTGTTATGCTGGTTCTTGACTGCTTAAATAGCATTTAAATAAATAAATAAATAAATAAATAAATAAATGAATGAATGAATGAATGAATGAAAGTTCACAGGCAGCCCAAAAAGGATTTCCAAACGAACTGCAGACTACAGCATACCTCAAAGTAAAAAGTAAAAATTTGTGATAGGTTTTTCTTCCTTACTTTTTGTGCATTTGTTCCTGAAGGTTAACACCCCAAATCTAGCACCAATATTTTCAATCCGATACCTCATCTGTTTTTACTTTTTGTCTTGGGTTCCTAATTGCTATTTCTCTTCCCTCTAAAAATTCATTTATCTCTTTCAGTAAAAAGAACAGTAATAATATGTTGAACAACTCTGAAATAAATTTTGTCATGTAAAAAATTAATTACGCATTCCGAACCTGGTCACTGTAGTCCTCCGGGAATTGCCTCTGCACCTCAGGATCTGTAAATAATTGACAGATAATATTAATTGGCTTTGGATTAGTGAGCAAGCAGAGGATCACACATTAATATTTGATCAGAAGATGATAGCAGCCCTGGCAGGGGATCCAAGGGGGGCAGCTGAGGCTGCTATGTTGATGAGCACAAGGACGGACTCGGCAAGGCACTCCCATTACCCTCCTCCAGAAATATAAAAAAGAAAAATTCTGAAGACCTGATGCTACTGTTAACTTTAGACTATTACCTAATGCAAAAATCTTGTCCGCTGCAAATTGCACTCAATATATTTTTCCAAAGAAAATGAGTCTTAAACCTGGCTTGACTTTTTTTTCTCTAATCAGAAGCCTCCTTTTCACAGTTACAGATGTGGGCTTGATAAACCACCTTAAACACCAGTTCCAGATTGCGTGAGTGTGTGTGTGTGTGTGTGTGTGTGTGTGTGTGTGTGTTGGTAGGGGGTTGGGGGGGAGTAAGAGAAGAATTCTTTCAAGGAACAAATGCAAAACTCTTTGCTTTTCAAAATAAAATATACCCTTAGCAAAACACTCATGAACTCTTGAAAATACAGATAAAACCAGATGAAGTTTTCTTCAAAACAGAACCAAACAATAGATTTTTGGCTTGGCAGTGCAGACAAAATATCATGAAATGAGATATTATGTTCTACTGAACATAACAAGACTTGCATAGAAACTATAAAAATACATAGGTGAAAACACCTTTTATGACCATCTGTTTAAAATGGAATTACCAAAGGGTTCACTTGATTCCTCAATCATAATTGCAAGATAATCCAATGCCATCGTCTGTAAGTCAATACAGAAGTGTACTAATTAAAAGCTATTAGCACTCCATTTGCTATTGATTAGGAAAACATTCAATCTTTTCTAATAAGAGTAAGACTTGGTTCCTCAGAGACACATTATGGGGGAGTGATAATAATATTACATATTTGAGAAATCACATATCAGTGCAAAGGCTTGTGGAAAAGCATAATATTTGAGGGTCCCCTCGCACACTAATCACAAAATACACTACTCGGTTTTCATAGCTATCTTTTTTTTTTTTCATAACTACCTTTTAAAACATCAATTTACTTCTCGATGAGTGAATCCACATTAAAAGTTAAAACCCTCCAAATCACAACACAACAATGCAGCCAAGAACCTTTCTGCATCAAAGAATCAAAAAGGGAGAAAACAAAGAGCCTATTCACATACTACATTTAAACCCTAGAAATACCAGTTTTCAAGTCATTCAAGTCAATGGATGTTATTTTTTCAAAACCCAAGACTAGTAACAAAAGCAGGAATATTCAAAAAGGCATACCAAAAAAACAAAGCTTCCACCAATGGATGATGCAAAAAAGCTGAAACTATTTGTAGACCATTTCAACTCTTCTTGAAGGATCTTCTGGTTGACTTACAAACTGGGGACCAATTTCCTTCTTAACCTTCATCTGCAAGTAGTAGATGGGACAAAGGACCCACGTAGACTGTGACCAGCAGAATTCTGGAGTGACCCTCTCTGAGGTACTGTGCACGGCTGCCCCAGTAAGCCTGAGGAAGAAGCTGTTGCTTCTCTCCAGCCGGAAGGGCTGAAATCACTCAAGAACTTGGCCCTCTTGGGACAGGAGGCCAGAGGGCGCTAACGGTGTGGGCTGAGCAGCACTAGGTCTACAGGGAAGAATTAGTCAGCAGGATGCAAAGATACAGCCAGATGCCTATCAAACCTCTCAAAGTGTGCTGCTGGGGTGGGGGTGGGGAGAGCTTCCATAAGAGGCAGTGGTTCCAATTCCTAAAACATACGTACGTCACCCTGGTGCAGAAAAAAACTGGCATATTAGGATTTAAAATTTGCACCCAAAACTGAAACAAAAATGCACTTGTAAGCAAGCCACTGAGGGAAATGGTGAAAAACAAGTTCAGGAAGCCACAAAATAATCTAAGGCTTCTTTTTCTTCCAACTGTCATGTGATTAACACTCTTTAACCAGAAAACCTCATATAGAAATGACTCACATGTACATCTTTAATATCATGTCCTCTTTCTTGCAGTAGTTGATGCTTCTCAGGAACCACAAAAATACTCATGAAAATAAAGATGGCAAAAAACACAAAGACTTATCTTTTTATCACCATTCTCTGAGGGGACAAATGTCAAAAACCAAAATTTGTGATATATTCTTCAAGTTAAAAAATAAGTTTCCTACTCATGGGTGGGAGAAGGAAGGTTTTTACATCCTTGGTCAACTACGTTAATAAGAAAACTACATTAATAATTAGAAAATGTATTTTACTCATATATGCAGTCTAGAACTTTAAAACGAGAAGAAAGCATGGATAAAAAGAAAACTCAACTTATTTTAATATACTAACGGTAAAGATGACCATGGAGTGCCAAGATGGAACTCATTCAAATCATGCCATCCTCAACACTGCCTCAGTGGTAGGCATAATCACCATCATCATCAAATTCCTTCAACTGTCCTCAGACTAACCCCAAAGTGAGATGCCCAGAGTTTTACAGAATCACGTTCCAAGAGAATACATGGATTATTATTTACTACGATCCAAGCATAAAGCTTGTGCTTTCCTTTAAGGCCTTGAGGGTCACAAAAGCAAACTTCATGGGTTCTTAACATTCTCTAAAGCAATATTTTTTTTAAAGTGGAATGGGGGCAGATAGGGAGGGCAATGCTTTTTAAACCCAAAGCCCAACCTACTAAGTCCCATTCAATTAGCTAAAGATCCGATCTGATAAAACACTATGAAAGGAATTTTGTAAAAATTAACAAAAAAGACGAAAATAATTGATTTGCGTTTCCTTAAAATGTCTATTTTGCACAGTAGAGTGAAATCCTCTTTTTTCACATTGAGTCGATCATAATGCCATAATGTCACCAAAATATCGACATTGGAAACATCTGAGTTTAAAAGGTCCAAATACAATCTGCTTTTCTCAAGCAACACAACACCCGCCTTACTAACAGTTTCAGCATGGCACATTGTGCAAAACGTAGCACCCTGCAGTTAAGCAAACCGCCTTTAAATTTTCTGTCTGGCAGCAATCCACTTGCGTGTCTGTATGTTTTTACAAGGACTCTATGTATTTCATTGCATCAGCTGCATTTCTTTGAGTTTTAAATGGTCTGGGAACATTTTATGAAATGTTCTATATCTTTATATGGAAAATAACATACACTGGAAAACTGTGCATCGGTCTAATATTTATATATCTATTTCTTTATCCACCATCCAATACTGTAATTGCTAATGTTCCAAAACACCTTCTCACATTCATACCCTCACCGCCAAATGCAGTGTCACCAAACAGCTAACTTTCAACACAAAAATCTGCAGATCAGAGAACTACCAAGGAAAAAAGCAACAATTTGCTTAGGCAATTGGCAGTAAGAAGAGAAGCATGGGCATATGTCAAGCTTTTTCTCTAAGAATTGTCCCCCTGAAGGAAAATTAAGAACATTCCTTTTCCTTCTCTCTCGGCAACTTTCTCCAGATTTAAGTGGCTGATTCTTAACAAAATTAAAAACTAATTTCATCATCTCTCAGGAAAATACTTTTCAACAAAAAATATATTAAAAATATCTCGCCACAAGACGCACGGTATGGTAGAGTCCATACGTCTCTTAACTACATACACCTCAAAGAGGCAGCTGGCTCTGGGACAAGGCTTTGCATTATGTCCATGTGATGGGCTACTCCCTGCTTCCAGCACCGTGGCCCTGCAAGAGGAGGTCTCCACAAAGACACATGGGCACCACTTCCACTGGAAGCCACCAGAAGCATTTCCATACTTAGGACATTTCACAGCACGGGAATCCCAACAGCACAATCTGATTCAGGCACCGAACATGACCATGCTTAAGAGGCTATGTCTTCACAGCGGGGGGGGTGGGGGGGGGAGTTTCAGAACAAATATGTCTTGATTTTTTTTTTTTTTAAAGAAAGGTTAATTTTCTTCAACCTCAATTGTTCATGTTTTCGAGTCTTCTACCATAACATACTTTAAATCTTTAAGATATACCAGATTGCCACAGGATGTTTAATTAATAGAATAAGAGTTTGGGCAAGACTTGCTGGAACGGTGCTATAAATTATTTTACACAGGCTCCAAAACCTTGAGTTCTGCCTTAGGCTTCAAGTTCCTAGAAAACGTGGTAGACAGATCTTTTACAACAGAAATGCAAAATAATTCATAAAAGTACTGTGGTTATGTATGAGGGCTCATTTGTAGATCAGGAACTAGTATGTGTGCACACACTCACACCTTACCAAGTTATTTGCCTGTTTTTCTCTGTCACACCAAGGACTCCATTTGAAGGGTCAAGGCGTGACACTTTAACTATCGAAAAATACACTGACTTCATTTTTCTATGAAATGTGTAACAACGGCACACTAACCAAATGTCACAATCTTCTAGAGCTGGAGCTCTTTTAGGAAATTTCAGAGAAACTGCAAATGTAGCCGTTAACACGGGAATCTACGTTGCTTTCACTTTTAACATGGTAGGCATCAAGGCAGGGCATTTAATGCCCTCTCAGTTTATCCAGTCATTACCTCTAGGATATTTCAGTCAGTAAGAAACAAAACAGTGAACATATTAAAGCTTACAATTATAAAAATCTTCCCTTCAAAAGCTAGCCTTTAAAATTAGCTATAAACGATATAATCTCATTGTTCAATTCCATGTTGTTTAAGGTACCATCTTCCTCTCTCCCACAACCGTAAATGTTAATCCAAGCTGTAATCAGATTTAATTTTCCAGATGAGAAGATGAGAATATGCTGCAAATGGGTAAATAGTCCATTACCCTGCTCTTTCCCTAATGACATTTTCAAATTTTATACACTGAAAATGGTCACTCTCAGAAAGTAGTCTGAGAAGTCATATATTTTGAGGACGAGCTCAATCTTCCCCAAAACGCACTCAGAAATAAACTTTTTTTTTTAATCTTCATGAAGAAAAGTTCTTTTTTTTT